GGTTCAGGGGTTTAGGGTTTCGGGTTTTTGGGGTTTAGGGGTTTAGGGGTTTAGGGTTTAGTGTTTAGGGTTTAGGGTTTGGGGTTTAGGGTTTAGGGTTTCGGGTTTCGGGTTTCGGGTTTAGGGTTTAGGGGTATTCAAACATAAGAAGAATGGTAGCCTTCTAACGAGGGAGATCTGCCTCAAGAGGATCAGCAGCTTGATGGCCAAGCAGAATGCCTACCCTCCGGCGAACCCCCGGAAGATGCGACTGGGTTGCGCGGGAGGGAAAATTGTAGACAGCGGATTCGTAAGGGTGCTGACAAGGTTCTATAGGGGTTTATTGCACGATATGTCAGGATATTGAAAGGTTTACTGCAGAGACATGAATGGTAACTTTACTGTGGTTTGTTTTCTTAAGCTCTTTGAGAAGAACTGAGGAGGATCCTACGCGAAACCTTCCTGCGCATCGTGAGGAAGAAGTACTGGGACCTGCTTGTGCCAAAGTCTTGGTTTCAAAGGGGTTTAGGATTCAGGATCTAGGGGCCGAGAGTCCTACTCTCTAAGATATACCTTCTCCTACCAAATCCCACTTTTTTTGGTAGGTTCTTATTATTAACCAACCCTAATACGGAATTTATAGGGACCCGTAGGTTAAGGTAGGATTTATTTGGTTAGGGTTTTGGGCCTACGGCAACGATGGGGCTGAGCTCCCGGGGGGTGTGCTCTGATCTTCCACACAGATACCTGCCTGAACTTGGGCCCCAGAAACCCGTATTCTAATGATTCAGGCCCTACTGTAAAGCCTAAACCCCAAAACCCAAAACCCTAAACCCGAAGGCCCTAAAGTAGAGATCTGAACAGTTCGTATGAGGGTTCGAAGAGTACAGGCCTCTTCCATGAGGGTTTCGGGTTTAGGGGGGTCCTCTCCATCTTCACTCTACTAAGCCTCTACAACCCCAAAACGCACCTACCAGGCCCCCTATAAGAACCCTAGAAAACCCGCTGTGATACCCCGATCTGGTATACCACGCTTTGCAGCCTGGCAAAAGCAACGACGGAGGCCCCAAATACCTTTTCTTTCGAACATGAACCCCGATAAAAGGCTTGAAAATACCCTCCCTACACCCTAAACCCTACACCCTAAACCCTAAACCCTAAACCGTAAACCCTAAACCCTAAACCCTAAACCCTAAACCCCTCTTTGTGGTAACCTCGGAGGACCTCATCGAATCGAGGCATCTACCCAAGAAGTCGCCAGCTGCCCTTAAGCTCCTCGTGACGCAACAAGTTTGGGGGTTTTGGGTTTTAGCGGATTTTGGGTTTAGGTTTTTTTTTAGGGTTTAGGGTTTAGGGGGTTTAGAGGTTTAGGGTTTTTGGGGGTTTAGGGGTTTGGGGGTTAGGAGTTTGGGGGTGTTTTGGCTGTAGAGGTTTAGGGTTTAGGGGTTTAGGGGTTTAGGGGTTTAGGGTTGAGGAGTGTGGAACAGTTACGGCTGAGGCGGCTATCTAAGTTCCAGGGTTCCTTCGAAGGTTCTTTTCAGGGCTCCTGTTAGGGTTTAGGGTTTAGGGTTTAGGGTTTAGGGTTTAGGGTTTAGGGGTTTAGGGTTTAGGGTCCAGGGTTTTGGGGTT